TTTTGAATCCAGGCTCCGCCTTCCTGGCTGTGTGATCTCAGGCAAGTTACATAACCTCCTTCACCCCTTTCAGCCTGGGTTTGCTCACTTATAAAACTGGAATAATATTACCTACCTTAGTATATATGAGGTCCAAAAAAAAAATTCTTACAAAGCTCTCAGCATGACGCCTGGTACGTAGTAAGCACTCAGCATATGCTAGTGGATGATAACATTGATCTCATTATAATTAATCATCCTTATTAAAATTTCACTGGACAGATGTCATGCTGGGTCTATTACTCTATAAGTATGACAAGCCTATGTCACTGTGCCTTTGTGCCGTTCTCTGCCTGGATTACCTAAATCCTAATTACACTTCAGCCGCCAGCTGATGTGTTATCTTCTTATATGCCTTACCACCTCCCCAGATTACCCTGGCCAGCAGAAATCTTGCCCTCCTTTGAATCTGGACCTTAGCTCTTATCCTATATTATAATTATCTTTTCTCATGTGCCATATTCTCTATTCATAAGGCATATATTAATTGAACTCGGTAGAGAATTCTTTCTTCTGCTTGCTGGCTGTGTAGCCCGGAGTAAGTTGCTCTATTAGTTTGCTAGAGTTGCCATAACAGAATACCACAGACTGTATGACTTAAACGGAAATTTATTTTCTCACATTTCTGGAGGCTAGAATTCCAAGATCAGGGTGTCAGCAGGGTTGGTTTCTTCTGAGGCCTCTCTCCTGTCTTGAAGATGGCCACCACCTCCCTGTGTCCTCACAAGGCTTTTGCTTTGTAGGCACATGTGTCTGTATCTCAGTTTCCTCCTCTTATTAGGATACCAGTCACATTGGATTAGGGCTCACCCGTATGACATCATTTTACCTTAATTACCTCTTTAAAGGCCCTATTTCCAAATACAAGGTACTGGGGCTTAGGACTTCAGCATGTGAATTTTAGTGGAACACAATTCAGCCCATAACATTTGCTTTAATCGTTCTGTGCCTCAATTTCCTCTTATGTATAATCTGGAAAAAATACCTCTTGAGTGGACTGAAGATATGTAATATATGCAAAGCAATGCCTCATAATGTATGTATACTTAATGAATATTTAGTACCTCTACCCTTACTTCAAGCTCCTTGAGAACAGCAATACTTTCTCACTCATCTTGTGTCCTTGCGGTTTCTAAGACAAACTTTGAACAAGATTGCTTATAAATATTTGGTGAATAAATACACGATTGAATGATCATGTAGCAATAAGTGTATGTGTTTCTCTTTAGGTGGATTCAGATACTGGGTAGTAACTAAGATTTCAGTAACAAAGAATATACCAAGAAACCTGTAGAGAAGTCAAGTGTCTCCACTGTAAATATATGCCACATGGAGGCGGTTCTATATGGAAAATCTTTCCCTGTCCTACTTGCCACAGACTCCAGGAAGTCATAGGGAAATGATTTGTGACAAAATTGCACACTCACAAAAAACAGTATCTTCACACAGCCAGAGCTCTCAAGCGATGAGGGACACAAAGACATTGTGAACAATAGGTGTTCCTGTCCACTGTCTGCAGATTCGGCTGTCTTTGATCTCTGCAAAGGAGGGACATGGGTGAGGTACTGTGAATGAATAATAGACCAGGAGCCAGAAGAGCAGCAGGCAGTGTGCTGCTCAGTAATCAAGTTGTGGTGATGCCCAGACACCGTGCATCTGATGATAAGCATCTTCTCTTGGTGCCTCGGAGTCTCTCATTTCCTTCCAGCTTGACTCCAAAGGACCGATTCATCGTCGGCACCTCTACAATGTGCCACTTTGAGTCTGTAGGTTCTTTCTTTCTGAGCCCACCAGAGGTAACGAGTACATCATTTTTTTCTAGTATGACTACACCCTTTCTTCCCACTGCTTCTGTTCCCTGCTTCTGTTCCCTGCAGCTCTCTGAAGTGGTTTGACTTTTGCATCCTCCTTAGTGATTAGAATTCATTTGCTGTGCTAAAAGAATTGGTCTCCGTCGATTGGCTTGGAGTCAGGGAGTTAAGTATAAGTTCTATTTTATTGTATATAATGTTAACTTTTCCAAGTGTTAGTAAAGATCTGAGATAATGAATAAGGCAGCAATTCTATACTACCTAAGAATTGTACGCTTTAATAATGGTAACACTTGGATATATTTAAAAAGTTTGTTATGAGATCAAATGTAAAACATAAAAGTTGCTCTCTGAAAGCATGTGGAAAACTGGAATTAGAAATCACAGCTTTAAGTAAGCCTATTAAGCAGCCTCTCAATTGAAAGGGATCCTAGAGATGATGTAGTGAAGTAAAGTGATTCTCAACTCTCACTACACATTATCATGTAGGAAAAGTTTTTAAAAGGGCAGATGCAGAAATTCTTTTTTAATTTGTCTGGAGTAGGGTCTAGAAGTCACTACTTTTTAAAAGCTCTGCAAGCAATTGTAACGTGCAGGGAGGGAGGAGGACCATCAATTTAGGAGCTAGGGGAAAAGGAATCAGCACGTTTGGGGTCACTACTATGTCTTGAGCACTGTGCTGGCCGCAGTACATTCGCCATCTCTTTGATCCTCAGGCTAAGTGAGATGGTTTGCAAGTGGGGGCTGAGGCTCAGTCTTCGGTGTGATACTCAGCTGCCTCCTTACCCGCTGTTGGCGGTGCTTGGTGAGTATGCATTGCGTTCCTGTTCTGTTCTTCAGGAATATGGATGTATGCTGACTGCTCTCCATTCTACCCTTGGTAGACATGGTCTTGACTCGCTTTTGAGCTTTTAAAAATCAGCCCCAGGCTAATTCCAACTCAGCAAATCTTTCTCAGCATTTCTGCCCCCATAAAACAATTTTTAATTTTTGTTGATTTTTTGCAACTCGAGAGCTCAGGTTCAGAAGCACAAACATAATCCTTACTGTGCCCTTAGCACTGTTACTAGGCCAGGTCCATTTCATTCCCTCCTTCTGCCACCCTTAAACAGCTCCCTCCGTGTCGCGTGGAAAGATGCAGGTGCAAACCCACAAAATGCTCAAGGGCTGTAGACAGGCAGGGGGTGGGTCTTCCTGTCTACCTGCGGGTCACGGCCATGTAGGAGCAGAGCGTGCCTGTTCCGAGCCCTGGAGCAGAGGCAACAGGATGTCTTCGTGTGGACCAGAAGAGCACACCAGCCTCTGGGTGTGTCGTCTTGTGCTCTCCTTCCCACTTTAGAAGGGCCTTTTGATAAATCTAACCCAGGTTTTTTCTACCAGCATTGTTTGGCCCACCTCCTTAGAGTCACCTAGGAGAGATGAAGGTGATGGGCAAAACGTGGTAAAAGCCAGTAAGGAGAGGTGGTCTGTGTGGTAGTCTGGACACAGGAGAATACCACTGCCTTCTAAACAGTTTTAATGCGAGGGGAGGGGAAGTCTTGCTTTGTTTTTAAGAACAAATGTGTCTTGACTACGGTATCAAATTGGTAAAAATGGAAAAACAATTTGATGTGGAGAGTTAGTGGATGAACATTTTTCTTTTTTTCTTTTTGTTTTTTGGTTAACATTACTATGTATATTAGATAATGCAGAAGTCTTTGTTTTTCTTTATAGAAGTAACACATGCTCTATGTAGAAGAAATTTAAAAAAATAGCAGAAAAGAAAATAAACCATTTGTAGTCTTACACCTCAAAAGCACTACGTTGGTGTATGTCTTCTACATGATGGTGAGGGATGGGGGAAAGGTGTATGTGTATTTAGACATATGAGAGTTTTTACTTAACAGTATATATTGAACATTTTCCACAATATTTTTATTGGCTGCATAGTATCACATTGCACGAACATACTCAAATTCATTTAATCCACTCTTTACCACTGGATAGTTATGTTGTTTCTAATTTTTATTTCTAGGTATTATAAACGATACTTCAAAGATCATTGTTGTGGCTAGTTTTGATTAGCACAGGCCATTTTGTGAGGGCTCATACCTTGGTTAATGGGATCAGAGAATGTTACAAGAAGTAGTTTTGTATGATATTGACCCAAATTGTGCCTGTTGCCATGATGGCATCTACTAAGCTGTAAAATGACGGCACCATGTCTGGTTTGGTGACATCACTATGTAATAAAGCTTCTGAACTATACTGCATGTTAACCTTAGTTTGGATGATATAAAAGTTTAATGTATTTGTGACAAGGAATAACAAGTTGAAGTACAGTAAGAAAGAATGTAATTACTTATAATAAATACAGGCTTAGCTTCAAAATAGCTAGCTTAAAATTTCCCTTATAGTGCGCTTTAAAGATTTCCACTGATGATCTCGGAGGTGTGGCACCCAGCCACTGCTGGAATGAAATAACACGCATTGTTCAAAGTTTGGGGCATAATTGATTTAATGCATATTTTTACTACTTTGACATTTATCTTATATGAAAAGAGAATTTCTATACACAGGTAATATGTAAATGAAATTATAAGAACATATAACTCCAGAAAACAGTGTTTGATGATTGACCTGATTTTTTAAGAGAAGAAAAAGTAGCTTTCATCTAAGTTTACGTGTTCTTTGGCGATTTTTGAATCATTCCCAGAATCACGAAGTCCTTCATGGGAGAGCCTGTGTCCTTCCTCCCTGTCCCCTCCTATTCTGACATTTGTTTGGATACTATTTGTTTTTCATTTTATTGCTGCCTTTGTGCCCTTGGCTTTGAGCTCTGTGGTGGCAGTTGTTTATGCTTCAAAGAATCTTTGTCATTTTAGTGTGAGGACTTTGGTGAGGCCAACAGAAATCTCTCTCTGTTCTTTGCCCTCTTTCAACCTCAGCATGAAGGAGACAGGGCCTCTATACCTGAGGCCTCCTAGGCAGTAACTGCATTTTGATTCAAACTCGTAATCACTATTTTAATTGATGGGGCAAGGATTGAAACCTTGGCCTCTTGAGGATAGAATATTCTGAGCTCCATTGAGGATAATCACTCATCTCTTCCTGAACCACCTTACCATTACCCTGCTTTGATCCTAAATCTTTTCTTTTTCTCTTTTTTAGGCAGGAGGCTCACAGGTGATTTTCACAAATCCTTTGGAAATCGTCAAGATCCGTTTGCAAGTGGCTGGAGAAATCACCACTGGTCCCCGAGTCAGTGCGCTGTCTGTCGTAAGGGACCTGGGGTTTTTTGGGATCTACAAGGTAACATTCCTTTTAGTCATTCATTTGAGTATATGCTCGTCTCCTAAACTGGTAGCTGCTCATCAACATGAAATCGATTCCTCACATTTCTGTACCTGGTGAAGACATTCTGCTGTAGCCCACAGGGCACCATCATGCCAAATTACAAGGAGGTGCCCCTTCCTACCCTCTGTCATTAGAAAATACATAAGGATGACTAGGATGTGAAGGACGCCCACTAGTGTTGTTCAGTGCACAGCTCTTTGCAGCAACACTGGGTGGAGCTTTATTTGGATTTGTTATTGATATAAAAACCTAATTCTCAGTGCTATCCTCTGTGAAGGATAAATGCAAGGATCACAGGGTACCATCTTTCTGGAGATAGGCTGAGCTCAGTTTAAGGAGAAGCCCACACCAGATCAGAAATTTATTTTCTGATCCTGTACATTCCGATCCTATCCATATGTATGCCTAGTCATAATTTTTTTCGATCTTAAGCATTTCTCATTTAGAAAATAGTTTTTCAGAATGATTGCAAAATCACACTGTTAGAAAATTCTTGAAATTTGTTATTCACACTCCTTTACCCAAGAAGTTGTGTTGGAATATACTAGAATTAGCTGTATATATTCCCAGCTATAAGGCTTTCTCAAACATAAGGTGTTCACCATTTTTCAATGAGAAGAATCGAAAAAAAAAAATGTTTCCTGGCCAACTTGAATAAGTAAACCTTTAGGGATGTAGGAGGAGAAGTCAAATGTCTACTTAAAATAGTTTTCATTTATTTACACATAAATATATAAAATTGCATTGTATAAAATTAATATTGCTTTTTTTCTCTACACTGCTATCAGGAAATATTTAAATTCTTCATGTGAATTTTGAATTAGTGTCTTGATGATCACTTCTTGAATCAGCCATTCACATGGTTTTGCAGAGAACTTCATCTTCATTTCTATCCCAAGCTGGCAAGATGAAGGACTCTTGGACTACATGTGCAATATTGTCCCTGGAAATTTCATCCCACAGACACACAACATTAGGACAGGTTTTTTCTTTTTCCTATCCCCAGTTCATCCTGAATGGATATAACTGGTCCCATAAAGTAACAAGTTATTGTATTGCTTTTTAGAGTGAACTTTAAATGCCTTGTTTTGACCTTTAACACAAGATCTGTGAGCTCCCACCCCCAGGAATACTTTTTTACCCTTTTCTTTTTAACTCAACTTTTGCAGGTGGCTTTGGGAAACATCCAGTGTTAGTAATAATTGCAGTCGTTTCAGGCAAATCTGCCTTCCCCAAATGGTACTCTGTACTTTTCAAGGTCAAGTGATTGGAGGAGTACCCCATGATCTGAGACTTTGTAAGGGTCAAATATAATGTGACACCCTTTTTTCTGGGGTTAATTTTAGTTTTGGGGGGGGAAACTTGCCTTATATTTAGGCATCTTCGGTATTGAGGAATAAACATGCTGATTTTTTAAAGTAGCACTTGAAATGTTCAATCTATGTGCAATGGAACACAATGTTATAGCTATTTCATTTACCAAATTATTATCCAGCTGTAAGAAATAAACAGTATTGTCAGGCATAGCATTGATCAATTTGAAGAAAAATCATCTTTTCTAAATTTTTAGGCTCTTGCAGACTATAGCACGATGTAGCAGCATGTCATTTTGACAAGACGCCAAGCAGTCTTTCATCGAGTTGTCTGGCAAAAAGCACTTAGGTACAATGGAAGTGACTGCTAGCGAAACGTCTAGATGGATAAAATGGTAAAAACTTGTTTGCTGACACAGAAACAGAGACTGTTAAACTGCATACCTGCAAATGATACAAGACCGAGACTTAGTCCTTTTCATCTTCACAGTATTTCATAATCTTAATCCCTTTTAACACCCCTTGGAAGTAATTGGTCTCCTGATTTTGTAGTTAGGATAGAGGCTGCCAATGATGGTATCTGAGCTGAAATTGAGGCTCAGAAGTTTCTTGTTTCCACTTTTGTGCTAAAATTGCTTTCCTGAAGTGAGCAGGATTGCTCAAGTTTGAGCAAGAGACCTCTCCCATATAAAGTTAGTTTAATTACTAGCCTGGTGGTTTCATCTAGTTCAGAGGCATTCCACAGGGCTTGGTGCTGCCAAACAAAATGCCGCTTTTGGTGTATGGGTAATTACTAAGTGAAGTCACTAACACTTTGAGCTTCTGGAAACGTGATTTCATTGAGTGACCTGGCAATCTCCTCCTTTCTGCTGGTCACTGGTATCATCAGCTAAATTCGCTGAGACCTGTGAGCCTGGACTGGATTCAGCAGAGTTCACCTCTCCATTCAGTCGATTGGTCTTGTATTCCCACTCTAGGTTATCCTCATTTGTATCATCCCAGCTTCCAGCCTCAGGTTGTGTTTCTTGTGAATCTCTCTTCTCCAGGCTCACCCACCTTACCCTATCCCTCCATGGGGAGAAATCACTTTAGCAATTGAAGATCCATCCTTTCAGAGGCATCAAAGCTTTAGCATTGCTATGTAGTTTAATGTGTTTTTGTTTCGATAGTGCTTTTTAGTAATAAAGCTTTTCTCTGTTTCTAGTCTTGGTTGGGTAGAGAAATGCAAATGACTTGGAGTGACCTGGGTTGTGTCCCTCCAGGTGGGTCTTTAAATAAAGAGAACTACTGTCCTAGTCTTAGTTGGGACAAGTGATCTTCATTCTCCTTCCCTTGGTCTTTTGTTTGCGGTCGTTAACATGACAATGCGGACCCAGGAGGGGTGAGTGGTTGCCTCGGTCTGTGTGTTTAGGCCTGCAGTGCTTAACCTCACCTAAATTGGACTTAACCAGGCTTTCTATTTTTCTCCTGAATTGACTTGCAAAATACCCAACTATTCTGTGACTTCCCAGTAAACGGTAATTAGAATACTTGCTTTAGAAATACATTTACAACTGAAAAAAAGTGGATGTGGTAAACATTTCACATTCCTGAAGTTAGACATAGTTTAGCGCAGATATAGTGAACTCTGTAAACAAAGCCCCCCTCTTTGGGGAAGATTTAGAGAGATTTAGTTGTAGCGCAGAGTAGGTAGGTGATTGAAGTAAAGGCAGGATAATGAATTGCTTTTGAAAGAGCTATTTGAATATAATGTCGTTTTTAAAAATCTCCAACATATAGGGCCTGCCCCATGGTGTAGCAGTTAAGTGCCCGAGCTCTGCTGCTGGCGGCCCCGGTTCAGATCCCTGGCGCGCACCAACACACCGCTTGTCAGGCCTGCTGTGGCGGCGTCCCACATAAAGTGGGGGAAGATCGGCACGGATGTTAGCTCAGGGCCAGTCTTCCTCAGCAAAAAGAGGAGGATTGGCATGGATGTTAGCTGAGGGCTGACCTTCCTCGCAAAAAAAATCTCCAACATATACTACTATTCTTAAGAATATATGAGGATGTATTTCCCTTTCCCTAGGTAACTTTTGTTTTATTACATAAGCCCCTAAAGCATAAAATAAGTAAAATAAATTCCGTCATAGAAAAGAAAGCAGTGTACATCTACTTTTGAGTGTTACCTTGTACATAGGAGCCAACACAGCTTTAATGAGGGGATAGATTACACCTTAGGAATGGAATGAAATTTACCATTTAACAGTAGTAAATGGCCACACAGCTAATACAGGCTAAAAGATGCTTCCTTAAGAAGCAGTGGAACAGTTTATGTCTCTTTTTGAGGACAAAAAAGGGTCAGTAAAGCAATGATAGCTAGGATCCATCAAGCATTGTTGAAAGTCGTTCAGATTGTATAATCACAAATTAAACATTTGCTCTAGCAAGGAAAGTCACTTAGAAATATGGGCTCTCTCTGCTGTGTTCTAATCAGAGGCCTTTGTCCCACTGCATTTGACAGAGTTTTCAAATACATTTTTCATCCACATACATACATGTTGTGTATGTGTGTTCATTCAGTGTGTGTATAAATGAATCATTGATGCTACTGTCCATAAAATCAGAAAGCAAGTAATGATATATGTCCTTGATTATTCTGCTAGTTATCTCAAAGGGATGTTGTTTGTTTTTTAAGTAAAATACAAGTTTATGTTTTAAAAAAGTCAAATAATTCAGAAATGTCTGAAAGAAAAGTAAAATTCTCTCTTTACCCCTTACATGCTCCATTCTCTCTTCAAAGGATAACCACTGCTCATGTTTTTTATACATCTTTAGAAAAAGAAAACCTTTATACTTACATCAATATTTATCTCTCTTCTCCCTTCCTCTCTCATTCTCTCCTTATGTCACAAATTGTACCCATATCAATATCAATGTTGTGTGTGTGTTTTAACAAAAATAGAATTTTTCTAAGCACAACATATCTTAAAGCTCTTTTCTCATTTTGTTTAATAGCTGTATAAAATTTTTTAAAGCTCTTTTTAAGTAGTTTTCAATTGATGGGTATTTATGTTGTTTCTAGTTTGGGGATGTTACAAGCAATGACAGAGTGAACATCCCTGCATCTATTTTGGCATACTTTTCTGGGTATATACAAATGATAAATTCCTAGCAATGAACTTGTTAGGTCCAAGGGATGTGCATTTTTTAGTGTTAATAGATTTTGTCAAAATGCTTCAGTTTATCAGTTTCATATTGGTAACATATAAGTACAGAAGAATAATTTCTCCATTTAGCAGCTTTTAAAAATATCTATTTTTATGAGCTCCTGGCCCCACATGAAGAAAACAGTCGTTTAGTCATTACTTTGAGGACGTCGTGCCATGCTGATTTTCTGACACTGAGGGACATTGTATAGTTTTACAACCACCACAGTGGCAGTTCTCACCCTCCTGCTTCTCCCATTTTGACTTTCATCTGGACCTCTGTGAAAGCCTCCTCATGGGGTTCTTTATTTTGACTCTCGACTCCTTCAAATCCATTGTCCCCACAGCAGCCAGAGTGATCTATTTAAAATGTCAGTCAGATTAATTTCATTCACTCAACAAACTTCTACTGAGAGCTGAGTGTATGCTGGGCACTTTCCAGCCATTTACGAGGCAG